TGGTTAGATGTTACACCAAACTAAGGAGGTCCACTGGAACTCCCTGGAAGCGAGAAAGAGCCTTTGAGGCAGATTCGATGTTGCAACTGTCAAATCCCACAGCATAGTCATTATGCTAAGGAGATGAGGTGAACTGTGAGCCAGCCAATAAGAACAGCTGGAGAGTGGAACCATTTCCGATCACTCCAGTCTCTTGGCTCCATTTGGAGAGGTAGGGCAGGGGCAAAGCCAGTTCCACAGTTCCTTTTGTAAAATTTAAAACACTAGGTGGCTACGCCTCCCATTGCTGAAAACATGGAAAATCCTCTGGTGCGATTTCCTAAGCCTCTAAATATATATTTCCCCCAAGAACTAAATGTGGCTATCTCAACAAAACCAGTCAGTTAACATAAAGGACAACATTCGGAGGGAGAAATGTTTGGAGTGGGGAAGGGGGATTTCTTAGAAAGTTCAATGACTTCCTAAAAAAAAAAAATTCAGTGACTTCTTTATAAACTTCTTTGCCATCTTTTTGATAGTGAAAGAGTCTAATTAAAAATGCCAGTATAAGCTACTGAAGATAAAACAGCAAGAAGTGTTAAGAACCGCTGGGTTTTTAAAAAATATTTCATTCATTCGTTCATTCATTCATTTATTCATTCATTTGAGAGAGTAAGAAAGCACAACAGGGGGAGCTGTAGAGGAAGAGGGAGAAACAGGCTCCCCACTGAGCAGGGAGCCCAATGTGGGACTCTGTCCCAGGACCCTGGAATCATGACCTGAGCTGAAGGCAGTCGCTTAACTGACTGAGCCACCCAGGCACCCTGAGAACCACTGTTCTGACCATCTTCGACCCTTGGTTCTTTCTCCTTTGCTTCTGATCTCTCAAAACTTCACCAAAACCCAGGACTTCTCACACCAAATCTCTGTCTCTTACTGCTTTGTCTCCCTCCAGGCTGGCTGCTCTGTCCTCACCCCTGAACGGTGGAGTAATATCTCAAATGGAGGTGAGAAAAATAGACTTAAAGAGATAACTGCCTCCTGAAATCCACCATTTTCTCCTTCCTGCTGGAGGAAATAAAACAAACCCATGGCACAGACTGGGTCATATAATTCTGAGTCAGGGTCAGTCTCATTGGTCAGGAAGCCATCTAACTTCACTTTGCTTCAAGCTTTCCATCTATAAAAGCAAAGCATATGACTTGCTGCCTACTCATTACCCAGGACTGTGCTGGGAAGATTTATGAACAAAGGTTTAGAGAGCTCCTGGAAGGAGTGGAGAAATCTGATCACCATGTATGTTCAAGATACAAATGGAAACAGCCCTCGTCTGGGAAAATGAAAGAAGTTGCCTCCAAATCTGATGACAACTGTGTGCCATGAAGTTCAGCAGAGGAAAGGTGCATTGGCATGGAAGTTGCCAGAATCAATGGAGATGAGAAGAGTGAAGCAGGCACCAGGATCCAGCAGCTGACCAGCTTTCTGGGGAAGTTGAGCACACTGTTGAGAACAGTCAGAAATTCAGAAGACTTTTCCCACATAATCCCTGCTTTGGACATGTTCTACATCTTGATCAGTTTGTTGGTTACATGGGTTATGTGCAGTTTTCAATATTCATCAAACTGTACACCTAATGTGCAATGTATGTAAATTTTATCTTAATTTAAAATCGATCTATCTAATCCCACTCAAATAAGTGAGTTCCCTACTGTGACCATGAACAGCTATACTCCAATTACTGATTTTTATAATAGTCCTCATATTTATATTTAACAAGATTAATGTATGCAAATGTGGATATTCATGTATATCATAATCATCAACACAGATTAAAATTGGCTATCTGCCATTCTCTAGTAACTTCTCTCTGCACATTTATAATGCAGTGATAACCTTTCAAATGTCAAATGCCTTTGGAATTATAAAAAATAAAATTAAACTGTGAGCAGCAGACTTTTAGTGTTAAATATGTTTTACGATGTTCTAATTCATTAAAAATTGGTAATGCATGTGTGGAAATGTAACAACTCTATCAGAATATTGGTTTGCCCAAATGATCCTATACTCTTACTAAGCCTAGTAATAGAGTTTACAATATATATGATTTAGACTTTGAGAAAAAACAGGTAACAGTTATAACTGAACTCATGAATTGGTTGTTGTTTGGTTTGCTTTTCTAATAAAGGAGATAAATCTTGCCTAAGTCACATGTGTAACTTACTGAGAACAATCAGTGTTTGAAAGGAGTCTGAAGCTGGGTCCTTACTAAAGAAATATCACACTTATAAATCATACCTGTGAAATTCGAGTTTGCGTATTTGCTTTCTAATAGGAACTTCAAATAAACAAAGAAATAACTTATTTGAGAATAAGTAAGAAATAAAACCCAGTAAGTTAATTTGCCACCATTTTCATATTCTTATCAATACCAGCGCAGGTTAGATCTTTAAAGGCAGGGAGGTAGAGCCGCCACACCATCTTCCTCCTCATCATTACAGCGTGGGTCATCTAAGACTCTGAGATTTGCACGCAGAAAATGTATCCAGGACTGCTCCAGGGAGTAGCAGCTGTGGGAGAGCCCAGGAAATGGGACTGGAAGACATTAAGCCCCCTGCAGTGGCAACAAAGTCCTCAGCTGATCTCAGGAGGAACTCTGAGGATGGAAGGAGACTCTTCTGATGACCCTTACGGGGCAAAGGGAACCAGACTTTGTATTCCCACATCAACCTATCATTGAATGTGGGCTGCCCCAGAAAAGGGTCTTGACCTTGAGAAAGAAATCTTCCTTTGGCCTAGGGAGCCTTTGGCAGCCAGGAGAATGAACATTTCAGACGTGAAGGGGAATCTGGTGTGGCACCGTGGCATCCACTACAATCTTCATAATAGGAGTCTACTAAATGCCTGGCCATGTGCTAGGTTCTTTACACACATTCTCTAATTATCACTGAAGTCCTATTAGGGGGAGAAATTTTACCCCTTTTTAGAGATGGGGAAACTGAGGCTTAGGAAAGCTGAGTAACTTGCTCCAAGATCACCCAGCTACTGCTTAGCGGTACAATCAGTGTTCAGACACAAGCTACGTGTATCCAAAGCCCTTGCACTTGACCAAAACTGTGGATGTAGAGTCAGGAAGCTGGGGTCCCCTCCCACTGACCAGTAGTATAGTCTTCGCTAAGACACAGCTCTGAATCTCTTCTTAACCTTCAGATGGTAGACATCTTCCTGAAGCATTCAGGGGCCCTCTAAGGCACCAGAAAGCAAGGAGGAAGGGGCAGCTGAGCCAGAGCTAGAGGAATAACTTTCCTATGGTCTGCACTCCAGGGCTGGTGGTATCCAACCATCAATTTAGGGGTGTCTACAAGGGGCAATGAACTTGTGTGCCGTTAAGGCCGATGTCAACATCCAAGGAGCTCTTGGGCAGTAGTAGTGCCTGTAGTCAGACAGGTAGCTATGGGTATAGCTCTGGGTCGTCCATGCACCTGGAAGCAAGACTCCAGGCAGTAGATGGGGGCAGGGAATTCAGCAAGAGGGGGAAGATGTTAAGGGTCCCAGCTGACAGGTGCCAATAGGGAGGACTCCCTTCTGGCTGGACTAATAAACCTTTATCCTGGTTTACAAGGCCAAGGTGATCTTTACCTGCAGACATATTTCTCCCACCACATCTATTACTATTCCTACTTCCTGCTGCCTTCAACTATATTAAGCTACTTCCCTTTCTACAACGTATACTATGTGCTTTCTCAGCTTCAGGCTTCTGCCTGGAAGACCGTTTTCCCTGGCTCCCTTTCTTTACCTGGCTAACTCCCACTCATCCCTCAGGACACTTCCAGGAAGCCTTCCTTAACCTCCCAAGATTGGGTTAGGCGACCCTCCTATGGCAAGCCAGAGTACCATGTGTTAGCAAGATTATATAATGACTGGCACATAATAAGCACTCTAAAAATTGTGGCTGTTAATTACTAGTATTCTTCCTTAATAGCACCTATCACTCTGAATTGGAGACTATGCATGCCTTGCCTGGGCCTAGGCCTTTACTCTGTGTCTAGCATCTGCCATATTGCATAGAATGCAATAAATGCTTGAAAAATATTTGTTGAAACAATAAAAACCTCATTCACACAACTGGGTAAATATGGACAGGACAGTATGTAAGAGGGAGCAGGGAAGGGGGTGGAGAGGGCTCTCTTGCAACCTCCCAGAGACTAGCCCACAAAACCAATGCCAGTCTCTCCCTCAGGTAGGTTTGAGCTTCTATATATGTTGGCTATTGTGCTCACGATTGTGTAAGCATTTGGGAGAAATCAGGCCTCCTGGCTGAAGACCCTCAGAGCCTGTAACTGAGTGGGCAGACTGGGATGGTTATGTGGGCAGGACTACTGTTCACAATGGAATTTTACCTCTCATTTTTTTTAAAAGAGGTAATGTAGCTTATGGAATAAACATGCGGTTTGGGGTCAGACACACCTGCATTCAAATCCCTATTTATTATTATTATTTTTTTACCTAGAGCTATGGGATAACTTTAAGTAAGAGAAGAATCTTTGGGACAAAGTTCTGAATCCCAGCTGGATCTGAATCCGAGCTCCTTCACTTCCTTGCTATGTGACATTAGACATACGTTGTAACCTCTCTGTGTCTTAGTATTCTCATCTGTAAGATGGAAATAATTCTTCCTTCACAGATTATTATGAAGATGGAATTAATCATTGTAAAGTTCTTAGAACAGGGCTTGGCATATACTAAGTACTGTATAAAGGTTTAGCTCATCATTCTAAGCCTCAGTTTTCTCATTGGAAAAATGGATATATGGAGAACACTTAGTACTGCGCCTGACATATAGCATGCTCTCTGTCATTATTATTATTTCTATTACTATTACTTCTCTTATAAGTGGAAGATACTTTCTTAGGGTGAACTTCATTGAGTAATAGAAACTTTGTTCCTATGGATGCTTTTGGTCTTTACTGATGATTTTGGGAGAAAAGGAGCTATTTCTTTGTGGTTGTGAGCCAGTCACATACCTCATGCCTTGCCTTTCGTACTAATCCTCTGAAAACCTCCTTCATGGGCCCAAACATTCCCATGCATACCTGTTTCTCTGATATATAAGCAAAGGAGGAGTGTATTGGTTTTCTCGGGCTGCCATAACAAAGTACCATAAACTTGATGGCTTAACACAACAGAAATTCATACTCCCACAGCTCTGGAGTCAGAAGCCTGAAATCAAGGTGTCAGGACAGCCACACTCCCACACAGGCTCTAGGGGAGAATTTTTCCTTGCCTCTTCCAGTTTCTTGTGGCTGCAAGCATTCCTGGGCTTTTGGCAGAAAAACTTGAATCTCTGTTTTTGTCTTCACGTGACCTTCTCCCTCTGTGTGTTCCTGTCCCAAATCTTCTTCTGCCTCTCCCTGTTAAGGACATCTGTCATTAGATTTAGGGTTCACCTTAAATCTTGAGATCCTTAATTAGATCTGCAAAGACACTTTTGCATTCACAGCTACCAGGGGTAAGTACGTAGACATACCTTTTGGGGCCAACTATTCAACACACTATACGGGATAACAGGGCCCTAATTGGGTCTAAATAGAATCTATCCCTGTTTCTTTCTTTCTTTTCCCTGTACACTTGTTCTAGTCTCATCCATACCTCTTTAATGGTATGGTCACAGCCAGAGGGACAAGCAATTTATCCCGACCAACCAATCTCCTCCTTCCTGGCCTCCACTCTGGCCCATATCTGCACCTGTTTCCTGCCTCAGGATTCACTGTGAGGAGCACACAGACATTTGAGGCTCATGTGCCTATGAAGTCTCATTCTGCTTGGCCCACCCAGTTGCCTTGCAGACAGGCAGGAGAATCAGATGTCACTCTGGGACCTTGCAGTACCAGCTTGCCCCACCTGGCCCTTCACCAGGGTCACCTCGGTCACACATCAGGTTTCATAGATGAGGCCAAAACAGGAGACCCTGGTGAGCTGGAACAAGTAGAGGCAGTAGATCTGGGTCAGTTCAGGAATTCTGTTTGCACTTGGACCAGGCAAATAGGCTCAGAGAAAGAATCTGGGTCAAAAGCTTGGCAGACTGGCAGGAAACACGAGGCCTGATACACAAATTAAAATGGAGACTAGCTTTTCATCCACACAGGCGAGTTCTTAGTTCTCCAAAGTGCTATTGAGGTGGGTCTGTGACCTGTGGTATAACCTGTATTATAAGGGCCAACTACATTTAGCATGTATTCATTGAGCACTTGCCATATGCCAGGATCTAGGGATACAGAGAGAGATAAGACAATCCTTGTGTCTTCAAGGTCATTAAAGAATAGCAGGGGACATAAATAACTAATTATCATAAAATGTGAGAACTCTATGTGCACAATGTTATAAGAGGTCCAAGGAGAGAGTAACTCATTCTGCCTTGAGTTAGGGAATGGGCCATGATGGAAGCACAGAGGAGGTAACATTTGAGTGGGATCTTAAAGAATTTTAAGGAGAATGTGGGAAGAGCAGGAAGTATACCGTCCAGCTGATCAAGTGGGTGCCTCTTCTTCCCCTCCTATTTGTTGATCTAATCCAAAACCTGGCTCTTGCATGAAAAAAACTACCTTCACACAAACACTTTTTTTCCCCAGATTTTATTTACTTATTTATTTTAGAGAGAGAGGAGGGGGAGGGGCAGAGGGAGACCGAGAGAGAATCTCAAGCAGACTGTGCTGAGCAGGGAGCCAGATATGGGGCTCAATCCCACGACCCTGAAATCATGACCTGAGCCGAAATCAGGAGTTGGACACTTAATCGACTGAGCCACTGTCTATTTTTTTGATTTAGCAATCTAGAGACAGATACGAAACCTGTCCTGTGGGTAGGCTATGCCCAGGGAAACAACCAACCAAAAAGCTTCCAGTTGTGAGGAAGTGGTTTGTTGGGTACTGGCTGAAACAATAGAGGCCCCATAACCACTACCACTGCTATCCAGAGAGTAATAAACTTCAGGACCTCAGCATATTTGTTTGTTTGTTTTTAAAGATCTTATTTACTTATTTGAGAGAGAGAGTGAGCGAGACCAGGAGTGGGAAGAGGCAGAGGGAGAAGGAGAAGCAGACTCCCCACTGAGCAGGGAGCCCCGTGGCTCAACCAACTGAGTCACCCAGGCACCCCTGGACCTCAGCATGTTTTAATGATGTATCACTGTTGAGATTATCCTGTGGCCTCTTTGGATATTTTTTTCTTCTTAAAAATGTTTTCCATTTATTTTACATATACTGTTGTTGTCTCTAAAACCCCAAGAAGGCATTTATGATCTCAATCTCTGGTAAAAGGTAAGAAGGCTATTGCTCATCACTTCCTGTTCCATATTTTTCCAGTGTTTAATGAATATCTCTTTGAACTTTTTTAGACATGTCTTGCAACCAACATCTTGGTAATTAGTAGTAACATTTTTAAATTAGTAAATGGGGCATCTTCATGGAGTATTAATTTTATCTAATTATTATTGGGCTCACACTTAAGTAACCTAACTGGGTAAGTAGGCTCAAATGTATTGCAATATTAAAACAAACATGGATATATTATTCAGCATTATTTATATATATATATACACACACACACATATATGTATATCATTGAATATATATTATACATATTTTATATATGTATACACATATCATATATATCAGCATCGCATATAAAATTCAGATAAATTTTAAAATCAAAACAATAGACTTCAAAAAACATGAAAGAAGCCAGACATAAAAGGCTACATATCACATGAATCCATTTATATGACATACTGAAAAAGGCAAAATTATAGGGATAAAATTCTTATCAGTGGCTTCCATGGGTTGGGAGTAAAGGAAGGAAATTACAGAGGACCACGAGGAAATTTGGGATGACGGAAATGTTCTATATCTTGATTGGGATGGTGGTTACATGATTGTATATACTTACAAAAATTTAACCAACTGTACAGTCTAAAAGGGTAATTTTACTTTATGTAAATTATATCTCAATAAACCTGACTTTAAAAAAAGTCAGTTTACTTCGGGCTCCCTTTCCAGGCTAATTCACTACTGCATCCATTCTTTCTTATCTGCTTTTAGAAATACCTGGACAGAAGAGTTTGAGAATTACCCAATTAGTGCTTCTTCTCTCTAAAAGAGGAGGGTTTGAGAGTGATTTGAATGAGATGGACCACAAGATCTTGAACAATTTAAACTTGAGCAAGCATTTCAGGAATAGGAGATAGACGGTGCCTTCAAATATATATAAAATACCAACGTACCTACATATAATATTTTAGAGATACGTAATTATTTATCCCAGCTTTCCTAAACTTGTTTATTTGTGAAATATTCACTTGGTGCTAAATACCAATAAGGCATTTGTATTGGTTTCTTGTGGTACAAAATACTACAGACTGGATGGTTAAAACGACAGAAATCTATTTTCTCACAGTTCTAGAGGCTAGAAGTCCAAGATCAAGGTGTCAGCAGAGTTGGTTTCTTTGAGGCCTCCCTCTCATCTTGGCATGAAATGGCTATTGTTTCCTCCTTTTGTCTTCCAATTGTCTTCCCTCTGTGTGTGTCTGTCTTACCTCCTCTTTCATAAGGGCACCAGTCATACTAAATTGAGGCCCATCTAAATGACACATTTTGACGTCATTACCTCTTTAAAGACCCTGTCCCCAAATCCAGGCACCTTCTCAGGGGTTAGAACTTCAACCTATGAATTTAGGGGATACAATTCAGCCCATAGTAGCACATTTCCCCTTCCTTCCCTCCTTCGCTGTGTGCTCTTCTACTATTCTAGCCATCCCTCTAGCCATGTTATTTCTCCCAAGATGTAACTTCCTCTCTCTTTTTTCTACGTGGTTACTTCCATGCTCTGGTCAAACATTTGCAAGAGATGGAAGGTAACTCAAGCTCTAAAATACCCTAAGGATGCCATGACACTGTCTGCAGGCCCCGATGGAAATGTGTGTCATTTAATGTTTTTGTTTGTTTGGATACAGTCCTACAAATCTTCCCTCAAAAGGTTATGTGGAGCTGCTTTGAACTCTCAAACTATGTCGGGAATGTATCAGACATGTCAAATAGAAACTTAAGTACTTCCCACAGTGCACATAGCCATGGAGCTGCTGCCGCCACCCATATGAACGGTGAGGAATGGTTGAGGAGCACATCAGCAGCAAGGAACCAATAGTCCCATGTTTAATCCCAGCTTCTATAGCTAGCATGGATCATTCATGGTCACACGAAGGTCAGATCCTAAAGTAAATGATCTCTCAGCAGTGTAATCATTTCAAGCTGAAAATATTTCTCTTTCCACTGTAAGGCAGGGAGACTTATTGAACTTTTGGCAAAAGGAGCATCTGCTGGCTCAGCTTTCTCTACCACAAGACAATATTCCCAGGCAGCTCTTGGAGAATTGGAAGCAAGTCTCTCCTTTGGTATTTGCACGGTCTCATAGAGCAGCAAATGGAAATATAAATAACCGAGACTGTATGCATAAAAGCAGTTGATGCAGACTCTGTACCTTTAGGTTTAACTTTTGAGCAAAATCCTGAGAACGCTTTAAAATTACTACTAGGTTTAAGAAGTGAGGAGGTGGGCAAGGTTTCATGTGAGGTATGGATGGGGATCAGTGCACGATATAAATCGGGATGGTCAAAGCTAAGGGGACCTAGATAGGAAGGAGGGCAGAGACATTTCGGTTGCAACACCACACGCCATGAGGAAGGGAACTTAGTAGTAACCAGGGTACTGACTACCCTTTATTGAGTAAGGCCTGTGCTTGATTCTCTACATATCATGGGCCCAATCCCCGAACAGACTGCTATTTGCCTCTTATGACCCCTAGTTCACAGATGAGGACAAGAAGGCCCTGTAATATGTAGTACACCACAGAAGTAGAACCCAGGTACCAATGTTTCTTTTGGGTTTATGCTTACAGCTCTCTTTTGCTGTCCATGATAATGGCCATGTCCTGATTCATAGTTTATTATAGTGAGCAAAGGGAATAAACTTCGAGGAAACTGAAGTTTATTCCTAAGCGTGGTTTTAATTCTGCTCAAGTGATTTTTTTCAATTGT